CCCCCCTCCCCCCCTCTAAAATCAATTCTCTCCTGGAGAACGTCTTCGTGAGCCTCTCATGATTTCAGGATAGTTGAAACCCTCTTGAACATTTAGAAAGAGTGAATATGAAATTCTAATCACGAAAGGTGTTCCCCGAGGGGATACGTTTTGTGAAGCACGTCAATTCTCTCCTGGGGAGCGTCTTCGTAAGCCTCTTATGGTTTCAGGATAGTTCAAATCCTATGATGTTCCGATTCAATGCTCACCGATGATCTGAGCCATGGGGCAAGTTTGTTTTCCTAAGAATCTTTTTGAACATTTCGAGAGCACATGTTTGAACATTTAAAGTGCATATGAACATATATTTACGAAAGGTCGCCTCCGAGGGGATAAATCACCATGTCGAACATTGCATTTTTGTTCCTGCCTCTCGCGTTCTCTTCTCTTCCCGCTGTCCTACCTTTCGTGTCTCCCTCCTCTCAAGTTAGTCATATGTTAAGCCAATTTGTGTCCAATGGTCATTTTTAAAGAGATTTTAAAGAGATTTTTCAATTCTTTTCATGTGTTTTCATTTGTCTTTTTTGTGTTTTTGCACTTTAAACTCTTTTCGAGATTTAAATCCTTTTTTTAAGACCTCTCCGGTGTAGGTCATCAATAGTTTTAAAACACACTCACTCGCACTCGCACTCGCACTCGCACTCTCACTCTCACTCTCACTCTCACTCTCACTCTCACTCTCACTCTCACTCACTCTCTCACTCTCACCCTCTCCCTCTCACACTCTCTCACTCTCTCTCACTCTCACTCTCTCACTCTCTCACTCTCACTCTCTCACTCTCACTTCACTCACACACATACTCACACTCACACTCACTCACTCTCGCTCTCACTCACCCACGCACTCACTCACGGTACTGCAAGCCAATGTCAAGCTAGATATGCAAGGGGTCCTTTACATCACCATCATCACCACCACCACCATCACCACGATCTCCACCTTCATCACCACCATCACCTCTCTGGACCCCAATGCGTTTAGATCTCTAGACTTCTGCTGCTACACCTCTAGACCTCACACACACTGTTTGGGGTCTCTTGCCCGGATAATCTTTCTTTAAAATGGCACCCTCCGGTCATGCCATGTCATACCGTTTTTTGTTTCGGGACCTATGACGTCAGGTCCAGGCGCTGAATTTTTGATCGGTTTTCCGAACGTTGCCGGAAACACGATCGAAGAAGGATTGCTCGTTTTTCTTCACAGGCAAAGTGTTTGATCCTCAACTTGGCTGTGGGTCATGGCGCCGGGGGATTTGAGGTTGACCACTGAAAATGAAGAGAAATACAGAGTAGCCTACTAGGGAGGTCAACCTACCAAAGACCAGGGGTCTGGGATCGTCTGGGTTTGACCCATAGCCATTTCATGCTGGGTTCAAATACTCAATAGGTTGGCCGGACGAGGTTGGATTTCAATAATGATACAATTTTACAAATATTTTTATAGATATATATATATATATTCAAGGTAGATTGGGGTCATGTTCATGGTAAATGTATATGTAGCAGTTCCATGGATGGTGTGAGATAAACGTGCTTGCTCGAGCCCGGGTTCCTCCTCGTCATGTCGGCGCGTACAACGCTCGTCCCACGAGAGGTCGAAGCAACTCCAGGACGGTGATTGCATTGGTGGAGTTGGGTGGGCGCGAGGTGGTGGCGGCTGGCTCTCAGTATCCTATCCCAGAGACAACCTGTTTGGGACTGGTGTATTTGCACTCCTGAAAACGAATAACTAACATGGATGGCACCCTGAAAGACTGTTTTCCTCTACAAACCAGTGTTTTTCAGAGTTTTTCAGGGTCCAGGTTAGTGCTCAGCCGAGTAGAGCGAGCAGTTTTAGATTTCAGGGGTGAATGCAAGAATGCCTCTCCGATGGAGTGTCGGGTATGTGAATACCTTCCTCATGTTACTAAAGGCTCGGCTAGCCCGGATGACGAAAGATTTCCCTCGATCTCCTGATTCTGCTGTCCGACGGTCGTTCAGTTTTTCAGGATCTCATCACCCTGCAAGGCATTTTGGATCCGTGCAAGTCGGAGGGTACTCCTTCTCATTTTGGAAGAACCCTCCATGTATGCATCTGACGACCAGGAAGACGTTTTCCTCACCGTATGGCATGTTTTCATGTGTCTCTGCAAGGCTGGAAGAATTTTTGTGGGGCCAGCCGCAGGGAGGTACCATCCTCTTCTGGTAGTTGTTTGATGTTTTGTTTGATGTTTGGCGGAGAACCAATCCGTCGAGATTGCCCAACCAACCGCTGGGAACCCGGTGCTTTTGCACGTTTTTCACGGCGCAGCGGCTTCTTGCGCCGATCTCATGGACAATGCCGATCAATTGACCAGAGGTCAACCACCCCTGGCCTGTTCTCGCTATACATTCAACATGGAGTGCTTGGCATAGGGCCACCACTCAAGCCCAAGACAGGCCGCCACCGCCACCCTAGAACCAGTGACCTACCAAAGTCCCGCGCGTCAGGAGAAGACGAGAAAGTGGTCTCGGCGGAGGCGGAAGCGGCGGTTGCGGTGAAGCGGAAGGGTACCAAAAGCATCGGAGCGACTGTTTCCTAAACAGGAGACCTGCATAAAACCTGCCCTGACTGATGGAGGTCTATTCATTCTGGGCTATATGTCCGCTCATCATCACCCGCCAAGGGTTCGAACAGATGTGGTGTTGAGAGTATTGTTTGTAACACGATCCACTGAGAGGAGACGATCAATTGAATTTTTGTTGGGGGTTGTCGCTTCCTCTCTCATTTCATCTCTTTCTCCATTTGTTTTGTCGCTTGAATGAATTGTTGCACTCGGTTGCATCAGCGTACCTTAGCACCGTCAATCCTTGCACACCATGGTTCGGAAAACTGACCTTTCAGGCGCCAAACAGGCACCCAAACTTGGATGTTTTTGCCCGTTCGTCGACTTGCGGAGTCCAGACTCGACAGCGTTGGGACCTTTTGGGATCCCAAGAAACGCCGAGAGGCGCACCGTGCTTGGCCGGAGGCATGGCACCAGACCCGGTCTTTCACAGGGACGAAGAGGGTGGGCCTATCCCAGACACGACCGTCACGACCTGTCTGGGGCAGGACGGACTGCCACCCCAGACTTGCCCCGTACTTCAACCACCCCTGGCCGTGTCTCGGGTTTCATATGCCATAGCTATGGATGTTTCTGTGGATCATATCCAAAGGGAAGCTTGGGAAAGTCTCGGCAGTCATGGGGCTTGCGCAAGACCAGTTATGTGTTCAACGCCCCAAATGCAAAGAAAAACACCTACTATTCTTACCACTGTAGTTCCGGGTCCTCCAGTTCACCGGCCTCTCAACCTAGTCTCCAGGTCGCCCCCAGTGAGTTGCAGCTCGACGAGGCCAAGGCGAGGTGCTGGCGACCGCTACCCGTGTGTGGCGCTTTCTGCGGGGGCCCAACGGATCGTCGTGGCCGGGTCTCGGTGACGTGGAGACGGAGAGGCGGTTGACGGAGAGACGGTTTGGAGAGACTTCGCGTCACCCTTCCGAAGCAGTGGATGAAGGGCGGAGCGGGCGGAGCGGGTGGAGCTGTGGGACGTGTGTGTGAGTCCGTGAAAAGATGATATCCTACCAGGATCATCCGGTGTCTTATAGACTATACCGGACTAGCCTACCCTACGTAAACAGGTCTCCAGACAGGGCACCCGTTGGAAGTGCTAGGTGATTACTATTTGTGGGATGTCGGCCTACAGCTGAACCATCATCATCCACTACAGTCACAGGGAATGGGATACATCGGATATATATATATATATACACCCAAAGTCTACGGTATACGTAGTACTCTTAATCAGTCCAACCACGCGAGCGGCAAATATATGAGTTGCACCCCATCAACCCACAGCGAAGCCAAAGCCCCAATTGAGTGAGATCCCAAACACCGGCCTAGACATTATAGACCCTCCAACAGGTGACACTCCTGGTCGCAAACATGCTGCAGGTCTAAAAGAGCCGCATTTGGCCGCAAACATGAAAAACTTCTTTGACTCGAGATCACTCGAGCTCGACATCTCCGACCATCAGCTCCTCAACCATCTCCACAGATCCTATCCAGTCCCTCGGCGCCGAGAGAAGAGTATCAACGCAGTCTCCAGACTTCACCGAAGAAAGACGTCCCGGATCTGGAGCTGGATCTGGACCGGATGGGTTCACCGAAACCTCATCCGAAGCCATCGCATTCTTTTGCTTTTCGCACTGATCTCTCGTCAGAGCTGCAGGCCAAAGAGCAGATGCAAAAGCTGGTGCGGTGCCCAACCACCGAACTCGACCTGGTGCTTTTTGGGGGAAATGCCGTGATTGCACCGAAGGCCACCCTTTGTTCAGGCACCGAAGGCCACTGTTTTCAAGCGGACGATGGGATCAATGGGATACCCAAAGGACCCAAAAGGAAAGCAGCCTGAAGGGGCGCAGGATGTTCCAATCGTGGTTGGTTTCTGCAGATGTTTGCTGATCATGCTGATCAACGGTATGCATCCATTGACAAGAATGTTCCATGTTCTAGGAACACTGAGAAACACACCTGTGGTTGGCTGGAATCGCAGAATCGTAGAATAAGAGCAGTGACCGATGTGGAGTAGGTGCAACACTCTTTTGCTTTTGCTGCATAGTGATGGCTTAGAGCCATGGTTACTACCATGCCAGAGGCACCCCCTAATTATGGGTATGCAAGGCTTGTCATCAGATATATGCCAGCTTGGACGAGGACTGCGAAGACTATAGATTTCCGGACATTGTTCCTGTTTTTCATGTTGCAGACGCTCCATCATGGCATGTATACTGTACCAGCACCTTCCGGAACTCTTTTCCCGAATGCGTAGCGAAGGGTTCTCGTTTAACTCTCGGGGTCTAGTAGAGCCTTGTTCGCGACCCGTTGTCTCAGCGTTCGCAACCGTTGTCAACCGTTCGCAACCGTCCGCAACCGTTCGCAGTAGGGCGCTATGGCGCTCACATTGGGCGAAGCTTTTGGAGAGGGTTTTGCGTGGAAGCATGACGTGCACGATTCGTGTGAAATATAGTGAGGAAACGTGTGGAGACGTAAGATGTTGAAGTGGAGGATGAGTTCCCTGCGCAGGCACAGCGTTTTGTGAGATCCGCAGTTTTCTGCGGATTGGCGTCAAGAAGTACCCCGTGTCTGAGGAAAAAATTTCTTTGCCCACGAAAGGCATCCGCACTGTAACCACCGGGTGGCTCCCAGCAATCCTGACAGACGGGATGCTGACCCACGACGCGGATAAGCGTTGTAACAAGAGGTGGAGTCAAGTGCCTTGGAAGATGGGTATGCCTATGTCAGCCCATGGGTTCAACAAAGCTTTAGACCAAATTGCGCACCACCGCCATTTTTTGATCCCCTGGGCCACTCAGAACTGAGGCGGTGGATTTCCAAGGGAATTGGTCCATGATTAATGATTATGTCCTCAACCCCGCTCGTGGTTGCTGACAAGGTAGGTGAGTACCTCGATCTGGCGGCTGTGCGCCTTGCTGATTTGTTTGCGCCGTTGCTTGCTGACGGCACTGCAAAATCATCACTTTCGAGCGTGAGCGCCGGGCGAGCAAACGTGCGACAGCAGTTAGGGGAATGTGTTGTCTGGGGACTGGTCTTTCTTTGCAACCCTGGGCTCCGACAAGTATGTTCCCTTGTGGCAGTTCACACAGGCCTTACTTCAGAATGGTTCGGTTTGGATGGAAAGTACTGCAATCATGCGACGTCCAGCTATTCGACCTTTCGTCAGTGCTGTTGGGGACCATAGCTTGGCTCGAGCAGCTTGTTTGCTGCAACATCTTGGCTTCGCGGTAGTTGTGCGGGGCAAGAACACACACGAAACTCCAGTCTTCTTCGTTGTGATTGTGAAAGGGCACTTGGTTCAGGACGCGCCGCAACTCATTCAAAGAGAATCAAACAAAGAAAAGAGGATCAACAAAAAACAACAAAAGATCAAACAAACAATCGCCTTTGGCCGGACCATGCGTGAGCATTCAAGTGTAATAGCCCCGCAGCTTTTCACGTAGTGGTGGAATGTAACGACTTTTGAGCCGATGCTCAACCCCAACCATCCTCAGTGGGCTAGAATATTTCCCCAAACAGAGTGGGCACACTGAGGGTTCTTACGGTAAGTGAAAAGCAGGTGTGCTTAGATCGCTGTTCCGTGCGGGCGTGTGCGGCTGATTCGCTGCTATTTACAGTACATTCATGCCTCTCGACATCGTCCATGTGCACTTCGACTGCGCAGGCTCGCAAAATCTGCCTGCCCGCGGCGGTTGCTTCAGGCGACTGCGCTCTCGTTGTAGTGCGGGCGCATTTCGGTACATGGTGGTCACTTTTCGTGACAGGTGCAAGGGAAACCTCGTGTTTTGGTGCTGCAAAGTCGACTTTTCGTGACAGGTGCAAGGGATCGGAGGTGTTTTACTTCGAAATGCACTTTTCCTGGCCGGCGCAGCACTTTGGACATGGCGGTGATCGTCGAGGAGCTCAGATTTCGTGACAGGTGCAGTGAATCGTGACTTTTGGACATGTGGCTCGTTTGCAGATTTCGTGGCAGGTACAGCACTCTGTGACCCTCGATGTGCAGATTTCGTGGCAGCCACAGCACTGTGTGAACCTCGAGGTGCA